TGAAAATTATTGAAATCGGACTAAAATTACGGCCGCTTTTCATATAACGGTAAATTTCAGAAATGCTTGAAACTTCAATATTTCGAAATTTAAGGACGCTAATTTAATCAAAATTGATACACGGCTTACCATGTAACGGGCAAAAAAGAAGACTACTCAAAAACGCGAATTTTTGGTAGATTTCAGACCTTGTGTGGTAGATGCTCAAAAAATTAGTAGGGGCCTGTTGAAGGCACGTAATAAAAGCGGCATTACTGTCGTACTGATGAAAAATGGCAACATTGTTGCAACTGCCCAACTGATAATACATTGCAAGAAATTCACACAGAACGCGATACTTTAATAATTCGCGCAACACTGCGGTTGTGATTGAAACTCGAACAAGCACTAGATCTACCACAATATGGTAGAAGTCTGATCATTAATCTGAATGCCTGTGATTCGAATCAGGGATTACATACAGTGACCAAAATATAAATTAGTACTCGAAATTTTTTGGCAAGGTTTGGCTATTTTTCTTTTGTTTATTTAATGCTTATTATTTTTTTAATGAAAGTAAAGCTCTCTTCCTAACAAAACCCATATGAATAAAAATTTCCGACTTTCTGCAAAAACTATGATAATTAATTCTGCAAAGTTTCACCAATATTTAAAACCTCTTAATCAGAATCTGTAGAAAAAAATTGGTTTGCAGTTTTGTAGCTTATTAAAATTGAGTGTATAATAAAGTGCAATGCGCTGCCCATTTGCTTCCATATCAAAAAATTGTGGAACATGCACTTGCAAAATTTTGCGGGATAAAAATCTCGAGAAAAATATCCTACAAATTTGTGATGTTATGTAAGAATGTTGTTTAAGGACTAATAGACCTAGGATCCTTGTGGAAAAAAATTTGGAAAATTATTATTTTTTTGTCCCGTATTCGACTCTCATAAATATGGTCACCGTAGCAATAGTCCACTATTATATCTTCTTCGTCTATATTTATCTTATTGGATAGTTGATAATTGCAGTATACAAATCGTTAAAGAGTTTGAGGAAATGCTTCTGGAGTAGTGATAGCACTGGCCAGATACATATGTATATGTACAAAAATGGTTATGGTTATGTAGACCCGACTGGACTGTCGGGGTAACGGTTATTAAATGGTTTGTGGCAAGAGAGATTTAATTTTGTTTCAGATACATGATAAGTCCACGATTAAGAGAATACAAAGGTTGCGCCGATCTCGGACCGCTATTCCTCTCTTAACGAATTTGACAGAATCGTGGTTTGCATGACGTGACACTGGTGCAAATTGTTTACGTTTTCCTTGCACCATTTTTTCTTCTTCTTCCATTCTTGCTCACGTTTTGGCATTTCTCTCTCGCAATTGCACCAGTGTGACGTCACACAAAAGTTATTCTCATTCTTGTGATAAGTCCATTCGGAAGATCCAATTTTCAATTACTCTTTCCAGCATTACGCGACTTTTGACTTCACATATGTAGCTCCAAAAAAAAATTTAAAAAAAAATTTTACTTACCTGCGTCTGGCTCCACTCAGTCAGACCTATACAAATATCCTGCCTACGTGGATAATACTGGATATAGGATAATAATGACCTTATCCTATGGCTCTCTGACCACAAAGGCATACAATGCGGCATGCTGAAACAAAAATTGATAATTTCTGGCATATTTTTCACAACTGGGAGGCTGAAATTTGCCAAAGCTTCGATTATTTTGATGACTGTATTTTATATTTTTCATATAATATTTGTATGTAATAAATAGTTTGGAGATGATTTATTTACGCTTTGCTAGTATTTTAAACGATTTAATTAATAGCAAGAGCAATTAATTGTACATTAGTATAATAAATATGTATGTACATATAATTACGATTTGAAAAACTGTGGAATTTTTACCAGGCTTACGAATTTACGATGTATGTTTTTTTTTGTTTATAAATATTTTCGCGCTAATCTGCAATTGATCGTAGGTGGAACTCGCAACGGGCTCCATGCGATAGTTGTGGTCGTTTTGGATTCTGCCTCTCTTGCAGGACTGAATGCAGATCTTTGTAAGTATGTTTTGGTAGTAGTAGAACAAGTCAAAACCTTTAAAAGTTCCGTCTTTAAAGAGTGTTCTATTTCGATATCTAAACAAATCTTTGAGAATTTAGAAAAAATTCCGTACACCATAAATTATACCAAAAAAGAGATTTGGCTGTTACTGAAATTAACCAAAACGTTTCGCTTTTCCTACTGGGTATATGTACGTATCGCATTAGACATTAATTAGAAAATATTTGTTATAGATGAATAAATTAAACTTTACCTACTTTCGTTGCAAAAATATATTGACATTGTCATTTGAGACACGCGACGGTACGCATACTACTGGTATATACAAAAATCCATTGCTTCTTATTATGCGCCTGTTACGAGTACCCAACCTCGTCCTGATTTGTGGTTTTTTTATATGTGGTACGTATGATAGTAATTTCTAAGTTTTTATGTCATCTATTCATCAACACAAAATATGTTCAGATGTACGGCGTTGAATCGAAAGCTGGTTTGAAGTTCACCAATGCCCACTGTGAGTCCTTCAACAAATCCTGGATCGTAATAAATGAGTGTAGATTGCGCGCCATTAACCGATATGTTACGGTGTTGAATATAAATATAACATTCCTGCATCCTGCCTACCAAATAAAGGTATGAAATAGAGATGGACGCGTGAGTGATTTTCTGTTCTGTTAAATCTGTTTTCGCGTTCTGTTAAATTTTTTTCAATCACGCACGCTTTTTCACGGACTTTTATTTTTTTTTAATTTAAATTTTATTTATATACAGTGCCGGACAAAAGTATTGGTACAGAGAATTTTTCGCAATATATGCAAAGTTTTTGATTATAATTTATTTTCGATAACTTTTTATAAAGATATAGTTCATCCTACACAAAAAACATAAAAACAAAATCTCTAAACTTTGTGCATAATTAGGAAAATTCAATTCTATTCAGATTTTTTAGAAAAATTGCAAGTACGCTATTTTTTAGCAACCTCAAACTTGCACTTTGTTATACTAAAATTGAATGGGATATAAAACTGCATACTTACAATTTTTCTAAAAAATCTGATTAGAAAGCTGCAAAATAGTTTGCAAATTTATTGAAATTTCCTGAGTTTTCCAGAAAGCTTAGAGATTTAGTTTTTATGTTTTTTGGTGTAGGATGAGTTATATTTTTATAAAAAATTTTCGAAAATAAATTAGAACAAAAAACTTTACACAACTTTTTGCGAAAAATTATCTGTGCCAAGAAACTTTAGGATCATTTCTGCATCAAAAATAAAATTTTGAAAAAATTTCGCTCACAACTTTTTGGCGGTTAGGGCTCGATATGTGAAAATCACGTGATTGACGGAAAATCTAACTCACGCACGCTCACGACAGCCAAACTTTCAGCCACGCACGATCAGGGAACTTACGTGATTTGTCTCTCAAAACCACTCACGCTCACGCATGAAAAAGCGTGACACGACGTGTAACCTAGAAAATCACGTGTTTCGTCCATCTCTATTATGAAAGCATAACGGTAAACCATTTAATATACATAATAATCATTTGTTGTATTTTTTCTTTCCAGCTGAGTTCATCTTTCATGAAGAAAGCCAATGGATATAAGCCATTTGTGATGGATTTTACTGTAGACGCATGCGATTATATCGTCAAGAAGAATAATGCCATTGCCAATGTGGTATATTCATTTTTCAAAAATTTCAGCAACATAAATCACACTTGCCCCTATTATGTAAGTTCGTTCGAATCAGGCACAAATTTAAGTAAATTTGTAACGAAAACTCACTTTTTTACAGGGGGATCAGTTGGTGCGAAACTTTTATCCCCGATCTGATTTAATTAAATTGGTTTTTCCCAGCGGCGAATATGCTTTGCTGATGAACTGGTTCCTGGGTAAGGTGAAAACTTTTGTTACAAACATATATTTTACTTTTCATGGCTGAATTCAATCGCTAAGTATGTAAATACTTACGCATAACTGTAGTTCAGAAACCGTTTTGTAAAACCTTTGTTTTTCCCAATAAAAGAAACTGATAGGAACTGTTTCGATGTTTTTGAACGAAGATTTTTTAACGGAGTACAACCCAGAAGATAATTTAGGTAGGCCTTCTTAAGTGAAGCCTTTCTGCAAGGCCTACCCAAGAAGGGCTGAAAAAAGGGCTTGCCTGCATGGCTTCTAGGAGGTCCATCTATTTACAATTTACGTGAATGCGTAAATTTATATCATTTAACATTATAAATAAAATTAAATTTGAAATTGTAAGAAAACATAATATGATATGAACCTTAAATAAATACCTTAAAGAAGTATGATTTTTTGGAATTAAAGAAGCAGCTCCTCCAAAAGTCCTTCTGAAATACGTCCTACAAAAGCCCTTCTGGAAGGCCTTCTATTTGTGCCTTTTGGAAGGCCTTCTAGCTCCTGAAATTATCTACTGGGAAGTCAATTTTGTTCAAAATTTAAAATTCAATTTAGTAGAATGGCAGGTAAGACGAAACTACATCGATTTTGCGTCTCTCCTAAACAATAAAAAAAAAAATGGAGGTGGCACCTTTTCACTCTTAGGTGGTTATATATATTTTTGGATTCTATTTGGTCCGCAGTCTCGCTAATGCCAAATAGACCAATGCTGAATGTTCGGAAGCATCAGAGGGGAAAAACTGTTTCATTGGAAACCGTAGGGCTGTTCAGTATGTTGTGGAAATGGTCTTGGATTTGCAGTTGGAATTGCATTTGTAAATTTTATGCTATAAATATTTTTTTTAGTTTCATAGGCATTTAGTGGCGCATTTCAATATCATTGAGCAAACTGTATTGGTCACAGTAGAACATTTAAAGTTTATATATGTATATATATTACAAATAACAAAATCAAAAACCTGTGCGGGTGCCCCGCTTTCTAAGATGACACGAATCTTAAACGGAAAGGAACCTACACCATGGAT